TAAACCCCAGAGTCGAAACCCTAAACTGCCCTAAACCCTAAAGTCGGTGATCCGGAAAACATCTACAGGCCTTGTCAAATTTACTTTGTAAAGGTCTTGGCAAACCCTTCTTCAACCCAAGTAAAGCGTGTTCAGGCCCTCTTGAACCCTAAACCCTGAGACGCCAAGCACCCCAAAGTAGGTACTATGTATACCCATAGGCTCCGTAGTAGTTCCTTTTGGGCATTACCTCATAGGATTCTAAATATGAACCCAAAAAGGAACGACTATGGGGTTTATGGGTAGACATCAGGGGTCTTAGTGAAACGACAATACCACAAGTAAACTCTCCTTCATATGTACTTACACTTTCATGGTCTTCGTCGGCATTTGCCATTGCGGCATTCTTTCTTCGACGGCATTTGCGATTTCTTCGTCGGCAGGGTTCAGAACTCATGCCTTGTCCCATGGGCTCGGCCCAAGGTTGGGCCTCAGGGTTTAGGATTTAAGGTTTAGGGTTTGGGTTTAGGGTTTAGGGTTTTTGGTTTAGGGTTTCGGTTTAGGGTTTAGGATTTAAGGTTTAGGGTTTGGTTTTAGGGTTTAGGGCTTTTGGGGTTCAGGATTCGTGCGGCTCCTCCCAACAGGCAAAGCAGTTCTTGTCGTCCGACGCCCCAATAAGCGAACCATTTCTAGCAGCCAAAACCGAACTGTTTTGAGCCTTAAGAAAAGATAAGCAAAGCAGGTTCTTAACCCTAAACCCATGCCCCACTAAAGAGACCATTCTATCAAGACACGGTTTAGCATGGAAGTCCTGAACTTCAGGACTTATTAGGTTTTAGGCTTTAGGAGATCTGCCCTAGGGTTCGGTATTTAGGCTTTCAGGTTTAGGGTTTGATCAAGAGGGTTTAGACATTAAAGCGACATGATTTCCTCATGTTATGGGAATCTTGGGTGGGATGATATCCGATACCGGAGAAGCGAGCTCGACTGGAAACCGTCCGAACTAGAGCTGCTGAGCTGTAAGCCCTAAACCCTAAACCCTAAACCCTATAAACCCTAAACCTTAAACCCTAAACCTTAAACCCTAAACCCTAAAGGCTAAACCCTAAACCACAATCCCAGGTCACCGCCTGTCGTGCCCGATGCGAGTCCACAGTGCGCTGGGGCGGCCAAAGGCCAAGGCGCCGAACGAAAGCTTCCCAGAGAGCCCAATACTCCTTAATTAAGGAATATACCTTAAATCATAATATTAAGGCCCCTATAACTTAAGGTATATTCCTTAATTAAGGGGTATTGGGCTATCTGGGTTCTGGCTTGGGGCGTTTAGAAAGGTTCAGAAACCAGTCCATAAGGGTCCTGCAAGGGTTTAGGGGGTTGGGGTTTAGATTGTGTGAGTTAAGGGTTCCATAAGGGTCCTGTAAGGGTTTAGGGGTTGGGGTTTAGATTTTGTGAGTTAAGGGGTTTGTGATTTTGGGTTCCGGGTTTAATGAATATAGAGGGTTTTCGGCCCCCTTTGAGAGCCTTTTGTAGTGTTCTATGAAGGCTCCACAAGGGCTCAGGGTGTGTTCCTTAGGGTTGGGCTCAGGGTTTGTTACTTAGGGTTGAGAGTTTGGGGTTTTGCACTTGGCTTAAGGTTTCAATTGTGGGCCTTGGGGTTGCGCTTGGCTTTGTGCTCTATTAGGTTTTGGATCTGAATATAGGGACCGAACCAGTTGTTTACATCTCTCTCTCTCTCTCTCTTTATATATATATATATATGTGTGTGTTGACAGCTTTATATACTCTGTACATGTACATATGTTTAGCTCTCACCCGACATGCTCTAAATCCAAGAGACCCCCGAAAAAGCCTGTAACGCGCAGCAAACATGACAACCTCCGTCGTGAAACGGCTGTGCTGTTTCAAGTTTCGAGAAAGCACAGAGAAAACAAGAAAGGCGGCTCGGTCCACCTAAACCCTACAAATCCTCAAGCGCCCCCCGCCCCCTCCCCGCCCCGACCTCACCCACCCAAAACCTACAAAAAACCCAAAGCCCCAAACAAAGAGGTGGCTCGGTCCAGCTTTCAAGCGTGACGGCATTGAGGAGGACCAAGTGCCGGTGCACGCGCGAGAGATGCAAGGCCAGCGCCATGGGCTCTTCAGGGTTTCCGAAAAGTTGGGCTTTTGGAGGTTTCACATGAGTAATGTAGCGGCCTAAATGATTACGCCTATACTATTTTTTGGGGAGGTCCTTATTATGATTATAGTATAATGGGCCCCAAAACCCTATTCTAATTGTTACGGCCCCTGTATTATAAATGGTTTCGAGGAATTTACAGGATTGTTTTGGCGTTCCGTGATTGTTAGCGGCTTCAGGTGGTGTTCTGGGATTTGGCATGGCCTTTTACGAGATTTTGGCTTGGTGATCGGGCTGATGAATCGCAGTCGGGCTAGCTTAGCTTTTTTCCAGGGCTAATAGGCTAGGTTAGAGGGTTTTATCGGCTTAGTTGCAAACAAAAAAGGCTCCTCAGGAATATGGGTGAGAGCTATGATGGACATGCTACTACCCTAAACCCTAAACCCATGTCGGTCACAGTTTCGAGCCGTCTTTTCTTGGGGCTTCCGAAAGCGTTGTGACACTGAGGCTTAATAAGTGCGCTGGCCCTGTGGCAAAGAATGCGGAGACCCAGGAAAAGACGGAGGAGAGTGACACCAAGAAGGAAAAGACTACTCCTCTGGCACACGACATGCAACTTATGCAGGAAGCTTTCCCTGAGCACACGTGGGCCATGTCGCAAAGCACCCCCATCAACGCCGTTCTTGACCTCTTTGTACTTTCGGGAACCATGTGTTCAAGCTCCTAAACCCTGGACCCTAAAACCTAAACCTACCTAGACCCCCCAACTACCCTCTATTATCCCACAAATACCCACTATTAAGGACCATAAGGTCTCTATTAAAGGGCCATTGGGGGGTCCTGGTAGGCCCTAAACCCTGAAACCTAACCCCTAAACCCAAAGAAACCAGGAACCCAGGACCCGATCTCTTCCGGATGGTTCCACTCTACAGGGCCTTTTCAATTACGTGGTTTCCTGTATTCCGTTCAGAGTTTAGGGGCTTAGGGGTTTAGGGTTTAGGGTTTCCTGTATTCCGTTTAGGGCACAAGGTTGTAATTTTTGCGTTTTGCTTGGTCCTTCATAGTCCAAAACTCTAAACACGCAGCAACCTTAAGACGCCAACATCCTTTTAGGCCTTCGCTCCGTCAGTCCAAAGAACACCATCAGGAGTTCTTTGGGCTTTGGTCAGTCGTGATTTATAAGCCAGCATTTGGATTCGACTATGGTCATCTACTGATGATGATATAAGCCCTGCATTCCCTTCAGGACCCTCAACTATGGGGAATTATTGTCTGTTCCGTATTATGGGTGATGCAGGATTTATATCATCAACCGTATTTTATACGAAACCCAACTCTTTTCGCCCTAGCCCAAGCCCTAAGGACCGACACTTACACCCCAAGGCCCAAGGCGACACCCTGAACCTTAAGCCGACCCTGGAGCCTACCGTAGCCGAGGATGGCCTGCAGTCGTTGTCAAGCAACACAGGTTTAGGGTTTAGGGTTTATTAGCGTTTAGGGTTTAGGGCTTAGATACCCTAAACCCTAAACCCCAAAACCCTAAACCCCTAATCCTGAAACGTCAAACTGAAACCCCAGACACCAAGCCCCTAGGGTGCGGGCCTTTAGGCAGGGTTAAGAGGCTTAATTGGCTTGGGGCTTTAGGGGTTTAGGTTTAGGAGTTTCGGGTTAAGGGGATGGCAGGGTTTAGGGTTGGGGGGGTCTACCGGTTTCTGTTGACCCCAAGACCTGCGTACAGACTATGTATGTGTGTGTGTGTATCATTATTATTATCCTTATTTATTATTATTATTATTATTATTACCATTATTATTATTTGTTATTATTATTAATTATTAATATGTATTATTACTTTTTTTAATTACATATCTATATGTTTTTTTCTATTCGCGAGCTTTAACAAAAGAGTCCCCACCATCCTCTAATCGCCAGGCGGACGTGTCCATCTTGAAGACGCAGCGCATGCTTCGCAAGCGCAAGGCAAGTCCCTAGCTTTGCAAAGGGGCGGAGGGGTAGGATCTGTATTAACCCTCAGGATGTAAAGACCCAATGATGAAGTACTTGCGGGAGTTGAGGATAATATAGCTTTGAACCCTAAACCCTAAACCCCTCAAGTTGTAGCTTAGCATGTTGTGGGCTATGCACCAAGCCAGAGGCCCTTCAGAACCTCCACACACAATCCGTAACCGGTTGGAGTCGCGCGGCGCGGTTGGGAAACGAGGAAGGTGCATGTGAAATATTAGGGTCTAGGTTTTAGGGTTGATACCTTCAGTTCGTGCGGATAGGTCTGTTGTTGTTTTTGTTGTCCTGTGTCAGGGGTTTAGGGATGGGGGTCACGTGTCGGCGTCCTCAAGAGGAGTTTCTGCAGGAGTTTTGTCCTGAATCTACTACATCCGGTGAGGCATCATTAGTATTATTATTATCATCATCATCATCGGCATCATCGTCATCATCATCATGATCATCATGACCCCTTGGACTCCCCGTCGAAGCAGACTGACCTCGGCGCCCTCAAGATCCGGTGGGAGCCCGTGAACGTCCAGGCCTTGGACAAGGCGCTGAATCTGGATGCGGTGCGGCGGTTCCATGAGTTCGGGTCTCTACGACATCCTTCGCTCGATCAGGATCCGGGCCCGCAAGATCAAGGGCAAGCTGGGCTGGATATGCGTGGCGGAGCAAGACGGACAGGCTCCTCCGGGCAGGCTCGGAAGTATAGCGATATCCACCAGCCGCCCTTCGTCGCGCCGGCCAAGAAGAGGAAGGTCTCCGAGCCGGACGACCAGAGCAATCTCCGGAATGCCATCATCGCAGGGCTTCCGGCCGCTCAGAAACGGGAGCTGCAGCAGGGCATCCAGGAGTGCCTGATCGGCAAGAGCTGCTTTGGCTTTGCGCGGATTGCCCGGTACATCGCCCGGAGGGACCCGGACGTCGTCGAGATTGCCGCGGTCAACTCGGACTACCGTCGTGATGATGGATGGAGCACTGCAAAGTGTTACTGCCTAGGCAAGCGAACACGGCCCCTGGGGCCATCAGGGAACTCAGAGAAACAAAGCCCTTGGCTTCAAAGTGCCGTGTGTTCGATTTATCTATCATCAAGCCGAAACCCCTCACCCTAAACCCCAACATCTAACAAAGAGGCCAGTTTTCGTTCTCATAGGCCTCAGGACGAGAGAGTTCTGGGTTCTCTAGAGAGAGCCTCCAAGCCGGAGGCACAAAAGGAGGCCAGGGTTGAGGGCTTTGGGGTTCAGGATTTTGGGTTTAGGGTTTAGGGCCGAGGTATCCAGAAACTTCCCTAAACCCCTAAACCCTAAACCCTAAACCCTAAACCCTAAACCCTAAACCTTAACGAAAAGTAGGATCCCGAAAATCTAAGTCCTTAGTCACCAGACGTTGCAGGGCTTCAGGCCTAGCCCTGAAGAAGAACACACACTTTAGGGTTAAGGGTTTAGGGTTTAGGGTTTAGGGTTTAGGGTTTAGGGTTTAGGGTTTAGGGTTTAGGCTCAAGGGGTTTAAGATTTAGGGTTACTGCTCGAACCCAAAACAGGATAAACTAAACGCATAATTTCCTAAACAGCATCCAAACCCCCTGCAAACACAAGGAACCTACACCGTAAATCTTATAGGCCCTTCACCCTACAGCCTAAACCCTTATATACATAGTTGGGCGCAGCCTTGTAGCCCCTTAAAACTTGGGGGGCGGGGCCTACAGGAGTTCAACTCTTGGCCTGCACTCAGTGCTTTTATTTAAGCCCACCAAGGCAGACCTATAACATCCTATTTAGTTATCGGTTTGGCATGATAAAACTGTGCATAGGGTTTAGAGTCTAGTGTTGAGGGTACATGTTGCTTATGGCTCCAGCCTAAAGGTACCCTAAACCCCAAGCCCTAAACCCTAAGCCGACTGCACAGGTCCGTGGCCTTGCTTCCAGCTTTCCCTCCCTGGCACTGCGCCGAGGACGGATGCGCTGATGCATCGGCTGATTGTGAGGGTGCCGGCGCGTGCAAGTGTGTGTATGTGTATGTGTATGTATGTGTGTGTGTGTGTGTGCGCGTGTGTGTGTGTGTGCATGAGTCCTTTGAGGGTAACGGATAGTATCAGGTACCGGCTTTTTGATCCCTACTGCACACGAACCTAAGCACGTCAATCCTGAACCCCAACCGCGGCTCCGAGACAGCTGACTAGACAAAGGGGCTCGCCCCCCAAAGAGTTTAACGCCCTAAACCCTAAACCCTGAACCCTAAACCCTGAGCCCTAAACCCTAAACCCCAAACCCCAAACCCCAAAACCTAAACCCGGAGCCCTTACCCTAAGCCCCAAACCCTAAAGCCTAAACCCCCAAACCCCACACTTGCCCAAGGATCCTCAACACCAACCCCTGCAAGCCCAACTATAGCCTAACATCCACAAACGGCCTTGAAACGGAATCTTTTTCTTAAACCCTAAACCCTAAACCCTAAACCCTAAACCTCATGAGCCCTACAGTACCTTTAAAGGGGTTCAGGGTCTGGGGTTCCCTACATCCTAAACCCTGGACCCTACACCCCAAACCACTCTGAACCGTAACCCCCTAAAAAGCCTTAAGCAGAACATTACACAGTCCCTCTTTTATGGTCATATCGTAGATCTCATATTCAGGATCCCTGTTTAGTCTCATGAACATACCTTAAGTCATAGTGGCCTGAGTATACCTTCCTAGACCCCCCAACTACCCTCTATTATCCCGCAAATACCCACTATTAAGGACCATAAGGTCTCTATTAAAGGGCCATTGGGGGGTCCTGGTTATACACTCATATACTTGCAGCAGCCCTCCCACAGTTTTGCCATCTTCCCTAAATCCTAAACCGTTGACCATATCGCGCAGTGCCCAAATGACGCTCCCTACTTACGGGGTCGTGGGCGTTCATTCATGTTAAGGGCGCTATGAGACTATGTCATATTTCCCAGGATTCCACATACATACATATACCTTCCCAAATATTGAATCAACTAGATAACTACTATCCGTAACCCAAGTACCTCATTATTGGGTCCTCTTCGGACCCTCCGGGTTTAGGATCGGTATTGACTGTCAGCCCTCTTGCTTACTTAGACGGTTTTGCGCTCTCTGCGTCCTGGGTCACCAGGAACCCCCCAAACCCGGAACATCCGCCTAGACCCTAAACCGAGCCTTAAACCCTTAAACCCAAAGCCTTAAACCTTAAACCCAAAGCCTTAAACCTTAAACCCAAAGCCTTAAACCTTAAACCGAAAGCCTGTAAGCCCTGAACCCTAAACCTCAAACCTTCGACCCGCAACCCTAGGCCTAAACCCAACACCCGGACCGCGCTCCCTGGGGCAGGGAGATCTTCGCTGAGCACGAGAAGTCCAAACCTTCTGTCGCGGTCCCGAGTCTTTTCCCCTGGGTTTAGGGTTTAGGGTTTAGGGTTTAGGGTTTAGGGTTTAGGGTTTAGGGTTTAGGAAGGGTCCATGTGCCCAAATTAAACGGCGTATATACCCATGCTGGGAGGCGCAGGGGACTTAGTAGGTCGGCTATAAGTAGGGTTATAAGTGGGGTAACTCCATTTAGGGTACTTAGAGCTCTACTTATATCCTATTTACTCAGTCCCCTGGAGCTCCAACTGGGCTCCATTGCAATTCCTGTTTGGGCTTACCTTATAGGGTTGGGGGATATAAAGCACAAAAAGGAACTACAATGGAGCCGATGGATACTGTGGCCTCAGAGTAATCTCTATTAATAATAATAATAATATATACATATATATATATATATATACCTATAAATAAAAAATAAATAAATAAATAAATATTTATATATATATATACACACACCTATATATATATATATATATATATATATATATTTATAGGGGTACTTTGGGGGGGCCAAACTATATACCCTAAACCCTAAGCCGTTATACTATTTGGGCACATGGAGCCTTACGGTTTCGTTTTGTTGGGACGAAGGAGTGACCATTAAGGCTTTGGGTTTGGTGTTTTAGGGATTCTTTATGTGTTGTGTTTTTGGTTTTTGGTGGTGGAGGGGGTGGGGTTTTAGGGTTTAGACTGTTGGGGCTTAGTGGAGTGTACTTTTGGGGGTGTAAGGGGGCTTCCTGGTGCATGTTTGTTTTGACCGGGGGTGCGAGGGCCTGCCTGCGAGGGTCGGGTTGTTTGTAGTCCAAGGGCTTCATGGTTGTTTCTACAGGGTACAGGCATTTCGCTTTTATCGGCTTCCTGAATTGGTTTGGGGTTTAGGGTTTAGGCAGTACAGGTTTGAAGGGTTCATCTTTTGGAGAGGACCCCTGAGCAAGGCACACAGAAGCACATCAGCAGCACAATAAGAGCCCGGTACGTCGATCAACATGGAGATCCCAGGTTAAGCAAAGGTCCAGGGTTTGGGAGTCTAGGGTTCAAGGGTTCAGGGGTTACCTAAGGCGGCTGTAACCCTAAACCCAAACCCCTATACGCTAAACCCTAAACCCTAAACCCTAAACCCTAAACCCTCAACCCTAAACCCTAAACCCTAAACCCTAAACCCTAAACCCTATTAAAGTAAGGCTCTTGAGAACTAGAGTTGGCTATTGAGAAGTAGAGTTTTGGAGTTATAGTAGATACTTAGGCCTTAGAGGGGTCCCTAAATAGGTACTTTAAGGCCTGAGTATCTACTATATGGGTACATGGAGCCTTAGGGAGAGATCATCTCTGATTCGGGCCGGTCCTGATCTTCCGCGTCTGCTACCAGGAAGGCCACCTTGCCTGGTGGCGGTTTAGGGTTTAGGGTTTAGGGTTTAGGGTTTAGAACCAGCTCGCAACCTTTTGGCGGAGGACGATCAGGATGACGATCTGCAGGCCCACATGTCGAGGATCCTGGGAGCGACGAAGCGGCCTCTGATCCGGAATCCGACGAAACGGCCTCTGATCCGGAATCTGATTTCGAGGAGATGGAGGAGGAGACGGTCTGCCACGCAAGGACGGTGGTGAGGGACATGGCGAAGAGGGTCACGCGTGAGGATGTGATGTCCCTGGCGGCAGATTGGAGGTGGCGTCGAGTTGCTGTTTGTTGCTGTGCCTGTGGACAAAGGCAAGGAGGATGAGAAGGGCAAGGAATATTACCCCAAACCCTCACTTGTTGCAGAAAGACCTAAGTTTTTAGGGCTCCTTATCGCGGATTCCAGACATAGTTCCTTGAAAACTGTAAATCTTTTGGGCCTAAACCCTACACCCTAAACCCTAAACCCTACAGCCACAGGTATCCATGCTCTCCCCTGTACTTGGTTTCTTGTTGCAGTGCCCCGGCCATAAACCGGATGTGCCGGCAAACGGATTTAAATTGGAGACGATAGGTTCGCCCATACCATAACCCTAAGGGTCCAAAGGACCCAATAATCGTGTACTTGCGTTGCGGACAATAGTTTCGTAGGTTAGTATTCAGAAGAGTATATGATTATTGGGCACTTGGACCCTTAGGGTAGCATTCCATTAAGCCCTCCACTGTCCCCTAAATCCCCAAACCTCAAATCCTTATCCCTAAACCCTAAACCCCCAAACCCCAGATCCTAATCCCTAAACCCTAAACCCCGAAACCTCAAATCCGAAGTGAATCCTAAACCCCGAGACTCTGGGCCTTCAACACTCTCAGCCCCCAAGGCCCTGCAGCTCCTTTAAGCGGACTTCGTAGTTCCTTGCCATGATAGGGTTTAGGATTTTTGGGGCTTAGGGTTTAGGGCTTATCCGGCTTAGGGTTTAGGCTTCATGGTTTAGGGCCGACTGAGGAGCTAAGTCACGTGCTGAAGCAGCTTCACCAGCGAAAGGCTTTAGAAGAGCCGAAGAGGTGCCTTTCGAGTTTCCTAAGTTTCGTTCCAAGGGTAGTTTAAAAGTTCCTTCAATAAAAAAACCCAAACCCCAAACCCTAAAACCCTAAATCCTAAACCGAAGGGCTGTAAGTGAACGGGGCTGAAGGGTGTTTGGGATCCCGGGCTTCAGTGTCAGCTCCCTTGGGTACTACTGTTGCTGATATAAATTCTGCCTTACCTCAAGGACCGTAAACTATGGGAATATATTCCTTAGTTTGGGTAATGCAGGGTTTTTTATATCATCAACCTTAGGGTTTGGGGCTGATGGTTTGGGGCCTAGAAAGTCCATTCAAAGGCTTCCGCGGAGCTATAGTCTCCATTGTAGTTCCCTGATTGGGTTACCTTCTAGGATCCTACTAAAAACTGTTGAATCCCCAAAGGGGAACTACAATGGAGACAACAGGCAGGGTGTGTGGGTTGGCAGCTGTGGGTCTAGCTGTTAAACTTGGCCTCAAGGATTCAGGAGGTTTGGGGTTTAGGCTTTAGGGTCCAGGGTTTAGGATTCAAGGGGTTTAGGGTTTAAGAGGTTTAGGGTTGAGGCTTTGGGTTCAGGGTTTAGGATTCAAGGGGTCCAGGGTTTAGGATTTTAGGGCTTAGGATTCAGGGGGTTCAGGATTTAGGGTTCAGGGGTTTAGGGTTTAGGATTCAGGGGGTTTAGGGTTCAGGATGTAGAGGTTTAGGGTTTAGGATTCAGGGGGTTTAGGACTTAGGGTTCAGGGTTTAGGCTTCAGGGGGTTTAGGGTTTAGGATTTAGGGTTCTGGGCTTAGGATTCGCGGGGTTTAAGGCCTCTGCTTGCCGGTTTGGGTTCTTTTCGTTGGTCGCCGGCGAGGGCTCCGAAAAGATGAATGTGATGTTTAGGGTTTAGGGTTTAGGGTTTAGGTTTAGGGTTTAGGGTTCCTTAAATCCCGAACCCTGAAACAATAGCGCCCTAAAGCTGACCCCCGTAAATCCAAACTAAGACCCTTAACCTGAGCCTTCGGCCCCTACAAGACACCCCAACTACTCTCTACTCATGGGCTCCATTGTAGTTCCTTTTTGGGATTACCTTAATTAGCGGCTTCTAAATGTAGAGGCTTCTAAATGTAAACCACAAACAGGAACTATAATGAAGCTTATGGGGACGCAGAGAGTCATATCCCACCCTTTTTCTAAAGGGCTCCTACTTTTCCAAATAACAGATCCTGGCCATTTAGTTAGGCACCCTACAGAAGGGGTAGGTCGGTTTTGGCCCTCCAGGTCCTGCAGCTCCTGCTTACTTTTTCATGAGGTGGGGGCACTTCTTTGAGAGTTCGGGGGTAGGTGATGATCCAGGGTTTGGGTTTTTCGGATTTAAACCCTAAACCCTAAACCCTAAACCCTAAACCCTGGACAGGGGTTTAGGGTTCACGGTCTTGTTGTAAGCCTACCATATTTCCAAAGGCTTACCTTCTGTCCCTAGCGCTCCTGAGCCCTGGCTTAGGCGGAGGTTTTGGGTTCAGGGGTTTAGGGTTTAGGGTTTAGGGTTTAGGGTTTAGGGTTCAGGGGTTTAGGGTTTAGGGTTTAGCTCCTCTCATGGTATCCGTGGAGACAGGCAGCCTTTCTCCAGAGTGGAGAACGACGAGGATTGTAGAACAGTTTCAGGATAATGCTTCTACGGGGCTTTTGGGATTCCGGGCTTTTGGGGTCTAGTTTTGTTGTTGGTTCAAGGCTGTAGGTTTACGGCTTGGGAGCCCATTTACAGGCTTTGGGAGGACGTTGTAAGCAAGTTGGAAGCGAGGTCGAGGGGTTCAGAGTTTTTGGATCTTGGATTCGGGGTTCAGTATGACTTAGTTCTCCAATACCCAACCTTTACACTTTTTGGGTTCCTGTAATTTAGTAAAAACCTGAAGGGTTAACCTTTTATTTCCCTGGCTAATTGGGGAGCTGTGATGACTTCCCAGTATGTCATGGAGAAGGACGAAGCAACGATGGCAGAAGCAAGTGTCGATTTGTTCTGGCAGCGAGCATCGTCGAGCAACAGGATCATGACCCAATAATTACTGCAGTACTAATGCCGCCTGCACCGATCTGAATGAACCGCTGCAGTATTTGAAATAGCGTTCACAAGAGATGACAGCTCTCGAGCTGATAATGTTGATATTATATAACAGTGTGACCTCCGCACCGACAGTGTTATTGTAGGGTTGCAAGTGACAAGAGTCACAGACACAGCTACGGAAACGGTAAGGGTGATAGTCGTCGTGACATCCATCCTAAGCGTCAGAGATCATGGTAGTAGTGTCGATACCAACAAGATATCGCTGTAGTAACATTAGCTAGGATTTAAACAAGAATCGCAGAATAGAAACAGCGAAACACGCTTAGGGACAAACTCCCGCATCACCTGAGAAGTATCCGGTAACACGTAGAAGCCGTAAACCCCAACCCTAAACCCTCAAAGGACTCATATTTTAAGGTTTTTGGGCCAAAGACCCTACTGTATGAGGCTATTTGGATGCTACTGTACGGGTACCTAGAAGATCATAACCCACCCCCTTTCTAGGGTACCTATTCTGTTGGAACCTCAGACCAAAAACCCTGAAGCGAAGCGTGGCATCCCGTCAGCAGGACCTTTCCAAGCAGAGCTTCCATTCTCTGCAGCAGGACCCCTCATTTTAGGGTGTAGGGTCTGGCGTAGCGTTTCGGGCACACTTCAGGAAAGGAATTTTGTAAGAAGACTATCATTGTGAGTAGACGTACCGAACTGCGGCTGGCCTGCTCAAAACTGCTCATAACCCAGTATTCGAGCCTTTTGAAAGGTCCGGGCTTGTGATATCACGCGGTTCAGGGCTTAGGTTTCTGAGTTTATTTTTCGTGTGGCCCCGACAACTTGTACAAAGAACATATAATACCTAGGATTTTACATGATTTGGTTGTTTTATTCATGTATTTGCTCTTGCCATACGCAATTATGAATGTATGTATGTATGTATGT